TTCCAGCAGAGAGAAATCAATTTGCGGGAACCGGCCAGAAAGATCAGGGACACAATCAATGCCAAGAAGAGTGTGAGGAAGCAAAGATTTTTATTTCTAAAAATGCAGATCTGGTCGTGGTACTCCCTTGCTTCCAGCCCTTTATTAGCTCTCTGCTGCCCTCGCCATAAAATTCCAACTCTCTGGAACGATACACTCCCGTGCTCCATTCGCCACTCACTCTTCCAAACCCCTATTTCCCTCATGCCCTAAATAAATACCCCGTGGCTGAAAAGTTGAAAGCCTCCCTGCCTTAGCACCTGCTGTTCCCTTTCTTGGTAGATCCTTTCCCGGCTTTTTTCAGCCTGGGTCAGGTATCTTGAGCTCTTGGTGGCCTTTCCGCCTTTACTCCCTCCCCGCCTCTCCCGGAAGATGCTGGAACCATGGTCCAGCAAGCATTTTACACACTGTGTTCGACTGTAATTGGTCTGCATGTCTGTTTCCCGACCAGGTGCCATTATGGATGCCCACTTTCCAGTGGGTGAACTTCGACTCGGAGACCGAGGGATGGTGGGACTCTAACCTGGACAGCGCCTGCCACTCAGAGAAGATGCAGACTCGCAGGGCGCACTGTGATTCAGAGGGGCGAAGAAGAGTCACTTAAATATTAAAACATCTTAGTAGCTGAATTTTCAGGACAGCCTATACACACAAAAATAGCCTATTGGGTAAAGGAGTTGTGGCTGTCCCTCTTCAGTCATTAACAAGCACGACCAAGGGCTCCTGATGGCTCACAGGTCACAAGAGCCGTCTTCTCTGTGTGGCTTGTGCAGGAGGCAGGACAAATGTCCCAGTTTCCTCCTTTGCACCTGTCTGAGCTTTTTCAGTGAGTGATAAGGAAAATGTCATCTGTGTTATTATTCTGGCCAGTACTTGGTAGCACCTGATGTGTCTGGGGCACTGTTCTCAGCTAATGTGTGAACTCGGCTAATCCCCAGCACGGCCCCATGGTGGAGACCACCCATTTTACCAAAAAGGAAGCTGAAACCAGAGGGAACAGGCAAAGTACCCACGGTCGGAGCTGGATTCACACCCAGACGCCCTAGCCCAGAGCTCACGCTCCCAGCCACCTCGCTGTGACGAGGGAGGGGCGATTTTTGGTGGAACAATGACTCACAGGTCTCAGCCCCAACCTGACACCAACAGCCCTCCATTACTCTCCCCGACGCCTTCTGCAAAGTCCTGCACACGTTTTCCACGTCTTTTCTCTGCCCACTTCTAGCTTTCCGGAATGAGCTAAAAATATAACATATAACACAAAAATAATGCTACGCTCGTGTTCGTCTGCTGTGGCAGGAAACTTCCCTATGAGGACAAACCAAGGGATGGATGTGCGATCTCAGCCAAGAGCGGAGAGGTGAGCGCAAGCAAATGACAGAAAAAACAGCAGCAAAAAGGATCGCAGCTGTCAAGGTAGAGAGTCACCTAACTCACATCCTGCGCACAGCGGGGTCAGGAT